AGTCTAACAAACACCCCAAAAACATTGCACTGAGTATAGCTTTTTAAAAAGAAATCCCAAATATTAGAATGATAAACCCTGAATGCTAGAACTAAGGTGAATAGTTGAAGGAATCTGGCCAGATCCCTGCTGTCAGGCAATTCTTCGTTGCTCAATATCACTGCACCCAACTTATACTACCTACCCAACCTTAGCGTTTCTCCCTGATGTTTGCGAAAACATGTGAAGTGTGAAAGTAACATTTTATTAAGGCACTGTAAGCCAGCTGGAGAAAATAATATATCCGCATGTAGGGCCGTGTGGGATTCTAGTGCTTAAATCACCGAGGCATGAAAATTATCATCCATTATTAATGAAGCACAATCACTCACACGTACCATATCCAGGAATAGTGACAGAACATGGGCTTGTAAGAAACCTTTTAAAGGTGGGGATAAACGTTTCTCACTGAATTATAACCTAATATCCTGGTAATGAACCCCAGTTTTGATTATAATATAATATAACCAAAAATATTTCAAAAGCACCAGGGGCGAAATCCTGGCCCCATTAAGGTCAATGGGAGTTTTGCCACTGACTTCAACTTAGCCAGGATCTCACTTTACTAGTTTTATTAAGTTTTCTCCAGAAAGTACTCTAATACACAGATAAAAAGCGTATTTTAAATCAATGAAGTATTTATATTGACCCTTACTCAAAACAAATACTGTTCCACCAGATAATCCCATACAAAGTACTCAGCTATAGAGTCACCTTTCTTAAACCATGTCTGCTTCTCTCTTTTAAAAACTGTTGACAATCTTGCAAAAATAGCACCAGATGATGACCAGATATTTGGGTAGAAATGTAAATATAATAAAGCAATAAGACAATGCATATTTTAGCTTCTCTGGTTTATAACTAGACAGACTTTTATTTAGTTTTCCCAATCCTATTGTACACGAGATTAATTTATGTAATAAATTCATCCATATCACTGATGTAGGCCATTACCAATCAAATTTTATTTTAAATAACATTCACAAAGAAAACTGGTCCCAGTGGTGCTGAATTTTATTATCATATATTTAGTTATTTGGTATGGTGGTCGTGAGGCACTGATATCTTAATAAATATAGTTGTTTAACCTACAGGTGAACAAAAATCTTCATTTCCAGAACCTTTTAATATGCAACTTCTTAAAGGACAACCTCATACTCAAGGAAAAATAAGGCTCTGTTGATATGTATTACCTTCCACTACTGAATACCAAAAGGCAATAGCAATGTATGTGCATTTTATTTATTAAGTTGTGCCACATCTTTTGCTGATGATTTGTTATTCTTTTGGTTCAGCAATGTATTCTAACACTTTCTGTATATAGCTGTCTAAAATGTATTGATAATAAAGCTTTGCAAAGTGCTGATTTTTTTGGTTCACTAGCCATTCCAAAAAATTTCCCCCCCTCCTCACCCAAAATAGTTTCAGTGAGAAAATTTCAGTTTCTGGTCAACTGAAGCAGAAAAAAAATTTCATGTGAAACTAAATATTATTTTGTCTCACCCAAAACAAAACACTTCATTTTGTTTCTGAGCTTTCTTAAACATTTTATTTTTTCATTAAACTGAAATAAATTTCAAAAGAAAACATTACTTTGAATCAAAATTGAAATGATGTGTTTAAAAATGTCAAAACAAAACTTTGATTTTTTTCAGGTTATTTTTTACTGAAACAATTTGGCAAATTTGACACAACATCACAAAATGTTTCAGTTGACCCAAACCCGCATTTTCCAATGGGAAAGAAATGTCAACTGAAATATTTTGCCTTGCTCTAATAGCCAGACTAGGCATTAATTTCATTTACAATTCTACATAATTTCATTTATTTTTTTGCCTTACCCCAATTATAATCAAACCATAAATGTACATTAACTTATATTTTCATATCTAAGTTCATCTTTTCAGCAGATGAACTGTCTCATTCTGCCTTGCAGTCTAATACCTCACCTATACTTGTTCCTCAGCAACCAGGAGAGTAGAGCATAATGACAGTTTTGATCTAAAGTAATAATAGAAAAGGTGCATGCCTTAAGAATTGGGTTGTTGTATGATGGGCAGGACTGAAGAAGAACCTAGCTTTTTCCAGGCAACAAGGTAGTAACCCTATACCTTTCCCTGTATCTAAAGAACTTGAACTGTGTTAACCAAATAAATCTTACACAGGATTTTTAATGTGATTAGTCCAAAATGAGTTTGTCTGGCCATTATAAAAAATTATGGACTAGACTTCATGGTAGGCCTAAGGGAGCTTAGCTGTGGAAACCATGTACCATGCCAATGGACTGAAAATTGGTGCTTCCATTTTCAAAAGGAATTAAAACATAATTATATATTTCAAATCGCCATTCATTATTTCCAGAGCCAATAAAAATGTCTTGCCAATTTGAGACAAATACCTCCAAGTGGTTCTAATATTCAGCTAAGTGAGCATGCCAGTCAATTATTTTCTGTTAGCTCTTTTTACATTAATTACCGATTCTTGACATGGCATCTTATAACCTTACAACCGTCTTATAAAACCCTGTAATTTAAATCAAATTCATAATTAACAACTACAATCAAGGTCATTTTTAAAATAAAATGATCATCCCTAACAGAGACTAATTACCTAACCTGCATTCTTCCCAATAATCTATTTCCTGGCACATGTTGTAATATCCCAACCCCTGAGTAGTTTCAATTGGCCACTGTTTTTCAAGATCTTCTTTCCAGAAAAATGTTTTCTTCTTCAACCTCAACCCCAAAGTGGAATTTTCTCCACTAAATAATGCTTGTCTAAGATACATGATGAATTTTTTCTGGCTGGGGCTGCACTGGGTCTCTGCAGGTATCCTGAGCTTCCCTCTGGGGGAAGGAAGACAGTGCCTGGTATATCTCTAGCCAGATCCACACCTTCTGCCTTCAGGCCCTGCCCTCCTTTATAGTGCAGGTAGCCCGGCACGGAGTGTGCTGGCACATGTCTTCCTCCACCACGATACAAACAATAGTTCTCTTATCTCCACCTGAGAGGTCTCTTGAAACCTCTTTGAGTTACCAGTCTTTTACAAGAACCTCCTCAGGACCTGAACTCTAGCTTCAGCGACCAGGTCTATAGCAGCCTCTGAGAGGAAGGGTTCTCCTCTTGCTATATAACCCCCATCTATGTGCACAGATGGTGGAGTCCCCCTTGGTGCACCAAAGGTTGAGCCTGGCTGGCACCATCAGAATCTGAGACCTCCTGGCCTATGGTCAGAGGGACTGGTGGACTCTGCGGTGTTCAGCCAGTTCATGAGGGTGCCCACCCTGCATGACCCCATTGTGTACCTTTTTTTCACAGTGATATTTCAAGAAGAGAGAGAAAAAATAAATGTCATTTATGACAGTTGGCACAATTGACCTGACCTCTTATTTGGAGTTGGTCAACTGTTGTGTAAATAAATAATTATAAATATCCTAAAGTGAATATTATTTACTTACTAGTGTAAAACCGTAAAAGAAAAATCAGTTTAGTACAGGATGGTTTTACCCAATAGCCCATAAAAGTACTTTCTATGCCTTATAGATGATCCTGTCAAGTTCTTCTTAGGTATTTTTAGTTCACTGAACTGATAGTGCATTACAGTCTAGGCCATTTCCCAGCTTCCTATGCTCCATACCTCTTCAAAAAGCTACATGTTTATTGCTTTTGAGAATATTTTCTGCTGATGAATATAAATCTGCTAGGATTTCATTGGTGGTATTGTAGAGATAGCAAAGCTCCCCTTCATAACTTGGGTGCCAAACTGTGCTATATTTTAAAAATAAATAAATAAATCTTCAATGCTTCCTGTCAATTAAGGAAACATTTAGCTAGTTAAATGAAAAGACTAGCCAGGATATCAGCATCTCAGAATAGAGAGTGCCATTATTTACAGTCTTGGAACAGCATTGCCCTAAAAAGTCTTTAAAACTGTGGGCTATTTAAGTGGCACTCTGTTTCTCGCAATGCAGAATATATTCAGTAAAATAAGGGTGTGTTGCACGTTGCCGATAAACTAATGTACCTTCCCTTTTCTCTTCCTTCTAGCCATTCATGAAAAAAAAAATCACAATCAATGCACTTCTGCTGCCTCAATACCAAAGAGTGCAATCCTGCTATTATTGAAGTATATGATAGAACTCACATTGATGTCACTGAAGGAGGACTACTGTTAGGCATTAAATAGATGAGAGGCTTGCTGGGTGCAAGCTGTAAACTGCTGACTCCATAAGGATATTTCCAATCACTTCAGTCAGGCATACAAATAAAGTTTAGTTTAGTAGGAAAATAATCCTAAACATTTAGGAATCCTATTGAACTGATTAGCTTCATTTGTATCTTCTGTCCAAGAAATTGTAAAGTGAAAGAAAACCATTATCAGTTACATATATGAAATTTGGTTCACATTCCCCATGGTATGCTTATGAAAGAGGGTTCCAGAAAGGAACCGACTCTGTAAAAGAAAAATTCTAAAGCAGCCTTAACTATGGTCTCACTACTGTGAGCCCAGAACATAGTTCACTGCTTTAGAGACATCCTAACTGTGTCTGTGTGGATATGTTGGAGGTCAAGGAGAGATGAGAGCGCAAGGAGCTCCTTCTCCCTCTGTGTACCTGTGTGGGAGGCAGCCATAATTTATCATTGACTGCTGGAGAGTGCAAGGAGGGCCTTTTCGCACAGATGGCAGGGTAATGATCCCAGTCCTCAGCACTGCAAGTGGCTACAACTTTCTAACACATACAGCATGACCTCACGCCTCTCTACAGGCCCGATCCAATGCCCACTGAGGTCCCCTGAAGGGGTCCCCTTAACATTAGTGGATTTTGGATTAGCCCCACATTGCCTCTGGAAGCATTATGACTTCAAATCACATATCCTTTGCTGTAGTGGACAAGGTGCTCCTGCTCCCTCAACATTTATAGGAATAAGGCTACGCTAAGAAATGACCTTCATTTCCGTACCTCTCTGATAGCTGTACAAAACTCACTCTGCAGTACTTTCTTTAGGGATTGCAGCTTGTGTACTGGTACTTCTCCGGACTCTTGTAGTTTCTCCAATAATTCAATTGCTCTTGCAACATCTGAATGGGTAAAAATAGGAATAAAGCTCAGAAAAGCAGAGATTTGACATGTAAGAATGATTAATGTTCCAAATAAGTGGTACAGTGATGATGAGCAATATTTTCATGCACAATCGGCTTTAGCAATGCTTAATTTATTTGTTTTTCTGTTTATAAGTCTTTTCTGCAGGTAAACCACTTGAAATGTACACATTACCTTAAACTAATATATGTGTAGACACTGCTGTTCAGAAATCTGAGTCCTTCAGTACTGACATTACATGCATATTTATCAATTACAAGTACTCATTTCTAAAAACACAGATACCAGTGTAAGCAGATAATATACAGTAGCATGCTTAAAACAGTTAGAAATACATAACTGCTTCCTTCTGCATTAAAGAGAACAGCACCAAAGAGGTGCTTTCAAAGAGTCTAATTTAAAATAAGTCCTTATATAAGTCCATCTGGCATGATAATGGATAAGGAAAGAATTTAATCTTTTCTTTGTACAAACCTGGAACTATACACTAATATTTTCTTCAAGAATTGTTTTTCCTCTTGCTAGGAGAAGGCTTCTCTAGTGATTAGAGCACTTGCCCAGGGCTCTGAAGAGCCAAGTTCAATTCCCTGTTCTGCCATGTACTTCCTGGATGACTGTGGGAAAGTCACTCAGTCTCTCTGCCTTGGTTCCTCATCTGTAAAATGGGGATAAAAGCACTTCCCTACCTCACAAGGATGTTGTGAGGATAAATATATTAAAGATTGTGAGATGTTCAAATAACGTGGTGATGGGGGCCATATAAGCATGATAGATAAGTGATTTGTTCCATGTATTACTTGATGGAGGCTATCCACTGGTCAAGTGAGGGAGCTGAGTCAGTCCACTTAGTTAAAATACGTTTCTTTGCAAGAATTAACTGAAACAAGCAGCTGAGCTGAAAGGGGTGGATCCTAACCAGTGGTAGCAATTGTGGAAGCTGTAGCATAGGCAGGGCTCAGACATTTTTACTACCATGTCATGTAAGCCTACGTTACAACTTCTGCTGCAGGAGCTGCATTGGAGGTGAATTACAGCTACAAAACTTGCTGAAGTAGATGAAGTCTGGCAACATTGTAATGATGTCTTCTTGATTGTGTGGTCATTCCCATTGCCTCTAATGTAGACTCATTTTCATTTCTACCCATGACATCACTAGCCAATTATACCAGAAAAAATATCATAGTGTAGTCATATAGTGACTCAGGGAATATACAATACTACATTCATGCAAAATATTTGAGGCATTTTAAATGTGATTTAGCTGTGTTTAAAAATAAAATCTTTATAATGAATGGAAATTACCTTAAATAACCCTCCTTCCCCATGATAAAGATTGTAGTGTTTGTGACTGGGAGATTACACTAATTGAAACAATTCTTAGAATCCTCATCTTGCAGTTCAGCTCTTCTGAGCAGCTGTCCTATCTCGCATAGACATGAGAAGCTATTTAGAAATGGGGAAAGAATGGCTTCAGATGCGTGGTTTAAAGTATATTTTTAAATATTCATAATAATAGTTAAAAATGTAAAGAACAAATAGCAAAAGTATCTTTCTCACAATGAAATACCTCCAAAAATGGGTATTTACCAGATTCATAATTTTGACATTTCCCATTCAAACTGAGAGGTTCACAGTTAGTTCATTTTTAGACTTCCAGTCCTTGTCCCCAGCTTCACCTGCTCTGCTCTGTGCAGACAGTACAAAGCAGATGAAGGACTGCATCTGAGAATTGCCCACTACTCTGTTAGCAGAGCAGTTTTGATTGGACCTCTGCAGTGGCCATAGCTTAGAAAAGCCCTTCAGCTGCTTTAAATTAAAAGGGGTTTTGGTTTTTTGGGTTTTTTTTTTTTTTACCCTGGTTAGCTCAGTTTAGAGCTTCCTTCCTAGCTCTCCTCCCAAACTATACTGAGCAGAAGCACAGTGCAGCTGCTGGCTGGTCCACCACTATTTTATTCTCACCTAGCTGTTCTACCTCTATTTTTGTGGATTCTCTGCTTCTCCCCATGTTCACTATGGTCCTGATCCAAAACCTATTAAATTCAGTGGAAAGTCTCCTACTGACATCAGTGTTCTTTGGCACCCTGATTCGTGAAAGTAACCCTATTCTTAAAGCATATGCTTAATTAACTCTAGCCATGTCATTGTCCTGTTGAAATCAATGGGTTTTAAGTATATGCTTAAAGATAAGCATGTGCTTAAGTGCCTTCCTGAATTGGTGCCTGGATCATTCACAGTATGATTAATTGCATTTAGAAGTAGGAAAAGTTTGCATTTAGTATTGCGATATATTGCAAAGAGAGGAACATAGTAGTACAAATGATAAATGCATGCTCTCTGATGTGAAATCAACAGGAGGTGAGTGCATAAATTCCTAGGCAAAACTGAGTGCCAAGTTGTCATTTGCTGAAGTGAGCATCTCCCATTTTCTGATAGAGTAGTTGCACATGAAAAAACAAAAATTCAGGCAGCACCCATAATAAAGCACTAATAAAGCAAAGCTTGTGATTGTTCTTAAACTAAACAACGAAAACTACCAACAGTAGTAACTTTACCAGTTGATGATATGTTGCATATTATTTGTATTATCGTAGCACCTAGGAGTCCCAGTCATGGGCCACGACTCCATTATGTATATTGTGGGAGGCATGACTTTTCACTGTCTTGCTTACCATAACAAAAGTTATGAGTACTTTACTTTCTCCATGCTTTATGAGGTGTGTATAATATAGTATGTGTATGTAGATGGTGCTCCTGTGCGGGTTTTCAAACCATAGCCACTATACATGGTTTTTTTGAGTCAGACCTTCACCTTGCAGGTACTTACAGTTGTGTTTGTAGTAATAAAGAATCCAGATGCAAATTAGAAAGACAGTATAAGCTTTCTTAAGAAATGTAATTCAACTGCAGGAGCAGGAGAGCTAGGGCTTTATTCTCCCACTGTGAGATAGGCTAGGAATATTTCTTACAAGGTATTGACTTTGCTGGGAGTTACACAGGCTCTGCGGTGAGAGAATAGGACCCCAGACTCTAATCTAAGCTGCAGAGAACAAGTTCAGAATGATTTTCACAGACCCCCAGTCATATAACCATCTCTATCAAGGATATTAAGTTCTAAGCATTACTTTATCAGAACAAAATTGTCCATCGCTGATCAGTGATCCTGAAGGCAGGATACTTCCTGCCTAGCAGTTTCTCAGAATTGTAAACCCTGCCACTGAAACCCAAAGTAAACCTTTCTGCTGATAACACATATACTTTTATTTCAATATTTTATTTCTCATACTTTAAAACTCAAGATGTTCACTAGTTGAGCAAATGCAATTTTTAACTATATAAGCAGTATTGCACACTATTTGTTTTTCTAAAATGAAGTCTAAGAAATACATATACAGGTATATACTTATTTCACAAGATTAAACTCAAAGTCTTAGACGCTGTCGTAAGTTACAGTAAAAGTTGAAGCATGATTGTCTGGGGTTTTGGGACGCTGAAAACAGTAAATTGTTTACCTTTTGGCCCCAGGAGTTGGAAGATTTCCCAAGACTAGCAGCAAGTAAATAAATGATACTATTTAATTTATTGTTTCTGACACCAGAAAGTAATATAGCACTGGGAGTTTCCATTTGCAGGTAACATAAGGAAATCCCAGTGCTCAGAAAATATAATGAGACTATCAAGGTGCCTATTACAAAGACATTTTTTTAAAAATTATATAACTTTCCATGTTCCCAAATTCACCCAATAATGTAAAATAGATGTAGTGATCCAAGCTGTTGCTTTGATGTATTATCTCTCTATCATATTTCTTAACAATGTGCTTCCCTTCCCTTATCACTGCTGGGCCCAGTGCTCGGACTCCATTTGCTAGTGACTTTAGGGATAATGTTCATGGCAGAAGAATATATGAAGCAATAAATAGCTTTGGAGGAGGATAAAACCCCAAAGTGAAAATGAGGAATGTGCTCACGGCCATATGTTTGTTCCAAGCAGACACCTTTGTCATGAGCTTTATTCTTGTTTCACAAGACAAAACAAGCTTCAACACACACCATAAAACACACAGTTTCAACACACACTGTAAAATATAGGCATGAAGGTAAAATATTACCTCATGAGGGTTTGAAATGTTGTACTGCTTTCCAGTGATATGCCTGTTGAGGTGAGGCTTGGGTAAATAGCTACTCTAAAGTAGGTTCAACAAGCGTAAAATTCATCCCTGCATAAGGACTTAAGTGGAGCGTCAGCTTTGTGCTGGCCTTCTGGACAGGGAGAATTTCACCCAACATGGAATAACTGCTTTAGGGCGGAGTTAAAATGTGAATAATTGTTCCAAGGAGTGAGGAAAAAGAAGTGATGTGACTGGCAGCTATGAAGATTTCAAAGTCACTTGTGAGAAGTTAAAATATGTGGTGAAATCCTGCCTCTATTGAACTTAATGAAAACACTCCTCTTGCTTTCAATAGGGCCAGGATTTCCCTTTGGGGTTCTTTTCTTGACCAAAATCCTCCTTTTGCTATGTAATTACTCTAAGGAATTAGTTCTGTTTGTTATGAAGAATGCGCAAGAAAGTGTTCTCACGTTTTCTCATCTATTAGTAGAAAGTGTAAATTAATGAATTAATTAAAAATCCATTGAAATTGTGAAACTATTTTAAAAACAGTTTAAAGCTACATTTATATTATATAATAAAGGAAATTAAACTCAATCTTTTCTCTTTACTATTTCTAATTCATCCCTTTCATCAGTCAAGGAAACAGATTATTTTGTTTAAACAAAAGCCTTCCAATAATAATCCCTTTGATCACAATTTTATTTGATTGAAATTTAGATTGCAATCAAATTAGCATGGATTTATCTTCTTCCACTCACTCATCTTCCATTGAGATCAATGGGAATTTTGTTTGAAGACTGGGAGTGAATGATTACTTGATATTTTATGTTGAATATACCAGAAAAGGAACATCTGCTTATTCTTTCCCTTTTGGACCTAATGCTCATCTTACATTTTTATTTTTACCAACACCTCTTTATACTTCTCTCTTCTATTTAAGCAATGATCTCTACTCTTCCCCCCATTCTATTTAACATTCTGTTCACTTCTCCACTCTTCTCATCATTGAACTCACATGCAGCACTTGAGGAAATAATGTTTCAGCATGGTGGGTCACATTATCAGTGAAACACAGATAATGGTGAGGTGGCTGCAGATGGAACACATTATATCAACAGTGTGCATCGAAAAGGAACATTGTTTTCAGAAAAATTCTCATCTCATGTAATATTTTTATATTTTTTCATTTGAATGTAGTTTCGTTTGCATTCCTGGGGACCATAAGCAGGCTATTATGTTACTGTACAGAGGTAAAGAAAGAGGGAGAAATCACTAGAACATGGAGCTAGTATGATTTCATACTGTGATTAAAAACTGGAACATTACCATGCAGTATTAAATGAAGCAGAATTGTGTAGACATAGCCATGTAGAATAACACAGTTGTAAAGGCAGGTCATCTTGCTTGTTTATCACTGTCCTTCAATCCCTATGTTTAGTCTCACTTCTTTCAAATGGTATTATTATATGTCATTCTCCCTTGCTGTCTCTTTATTCAAAACTGATTTCATTAAACACAATTTATATAGATCTGCCTGAAATTAATCTGTTTATTTTAAACATAAATATTATTTCCAATATTTTGCATTTCAGATAACTGTAGCCCCAAAACAACAACCAAATGCAGATACTATGAGAAATAAAGATCCTAGGTACTCCAACACTGATAGACATGTCACAGTTCTGTTACCAGTTTGTAAGGTAAATTCTAGCTTTCATTGGAGTATGTATAACAGCTGTAACTGATGGCAGAATTTGGCAAGGTTTGTCTTAATTCTAACTCAGGAGATCCAGGAAATCCAGCAATTCATAGAAATGCCAGGATATTTGATTTTAGCATTCTGAATCATTTTGTGTTCAAGAGTCACTATAACTGTCAGTGTTTAGTGATACAAAATTTCAGTAACTTTTGGAATGCAAGATACTCAGATCCACTATGTACACCGGAGGTAAGAGCTGTACTACATTAATTAACGTATGGTCTTCCACTCCTGTGCTTATCTGGAAATCGTACTGTTATAATCTGCAGCCCCCTGAACAATTTTTAACCATTGGCATAACAGACTCTTTTTGACTAGTAATGACAGTGTTCTGTGAAGTTAGTTTTGGTTCAAGCAGTAATTGCTTACATAGGCAATATATGGCTGTTTTTTCACCAGCTGGTCTGGAATCATCTTGCTGGACTGATCGCAATAAGGAAATATAAAAATTTCTTGTAGACTAAAAAGGTTTTGGATAGTAGACTTCCCACCTTTCTAAGACACATTTTATCCTTCTACTGCCACACTCCAGCTATGAAAAAGTTAATTGAAGGTGAAACTGTATTATTTATC